GGTATGGAAACCAAAATGGAAATTGATGTAGTTAATAAGGTGGATTCTGTTTAATATATATTGAATTCTATCCTCTCAAAATATAAACTATACTTTACTTTTAAAAGCCATAGAATGTTCACACAGAGTATCATACAATTGACTGTAAATGACACCTCAGACCATTTTTAAAAAGTAGAAATATTTGGACTGGGTCATGGCTCAAGTGGTAGAGCATCTGCCTAGTAAGTGCAAGGCTCTGAGGTCAGTCCAAAAGCAGCCATATCCTCCATTCCCACTTAAAAATAAAATTTCATTTTCAACATTTAAAATTTTAAACTTGCTGTCTGGAAATTAGAACTTAAAAAGTTATTGGCTCAAAATAAAATTAAATGTAAAATGTTATCTAGAAAATAGTAACTAAATTAAACATTAATAATTAATTTAAACAATACATAACTGAGCCTATGTAAAGAAGCTAACATTAATAAATAAGAAAAATGTTAACAATAGATAAAATAATTTTTCTGTAAGGAAAATCAGGAAAGGAGTCTTTTCAACAAATATTGCTAAAAAATTGGCTATTTATATGCAAAAAAGAAAGAAAGAAAGAGGGAAGGAGGGAGGGAGGGGAAAGGGAAGGAAGGAAAGAAGCTCCACAAATGAACTTGACTTATACAAAGAAAGAAGGGAAGCAAAGAAAGAAGGAAGGAAGGGAGGGAGAGAGGAAGAAAGGAAGGAAGGAAGGAAGGAAAGAAAAGGAGGGAGGAGGGAGGAGGAAGAAACAAAAGAGGGAGGGGAGGGAAGGGAAGGAAGGAAGAAAGAGGGAGGAAGGAAGAGAAAATTGAGTGTCTACCTCACACCATATATTGTTCCAGATGGATCATTGGTCTAAATGTAAAAGCTAAAACTAGTAATGTTCTAATTGTATGCCAATAAAGCTCCTTTAAAATTGTAAATTAAGCATAAACTCCAGATGTTTAGGAAAAGAATAACAAAGCTAAATCTAAAAAAAGTTGTTTAAAAAATAATTGCAAATTGTAAGAATAGAATTTAGAAACCAGGAAACTAATAAAGAAAGAAAGGAGAAAGAACAAACATACAAAATTAAGAAATGTGAGTGGAACAGCCACAGAAATGATGGGAGTCAAATTCATGATTTGATTCCTCACGTCCTCTGCTCAATGCAATGGAGAGTCCAGTGTCTTGACCCCATGAATGGTTTTCTAGGAAAATGTAAATGACTAAAAGTCATCCCCCAATAGATTTTAAAAATCAGAAAATGTTGTTTAAAAAATTCGCCCACCTGGAGAATCACCTGGATCTGACAGTTTCAGAAGTGAGTTCTACTGGACTTCTGGGTTGGGGAACACTAGGGTTTTGAACACTAGGAAGCATACAGAAAGAAAAAGACCTTCCAAGTTACTCTCTGATGACAATGGATACAGTCACAACAACACAAGGAAACCACAGGTCAGCAGCGTCTCTTATGGATACTTATGGCTACTAGTAGCCTGTAGATCCTACAGTGCATTTAGAATTACAGCATTCAGAAATCCACTCCTGTCTTGTGATTTACTGCAGAAGTGTATGTCAGTAACATATGTGTCTCTTCATTGATGATAGATATTAGTTAACTTACAATTCCACATTGATTTTAAAAAATTTTGATAAACATGAACATAGATACTTCCCTAACATGTTAAGTTAAATTTATCACCAGTCAGAAACCAAGCTTATGTTTCATAGGGAACATCATAGCACCCCAAAATAGCCCAGAACAAGACACCATTGTCCACTGTCACCTAATGTTGACTGAGGAATTATCTGATCCAGCTAGACAAGAATAAGGGAAGACTTTATAATTGAAACGTTGAAAGCATCAGTTACAAAAATGTGATCCACAGTAGGATAACTCAGTAAGCTCAAACAAACTGAATTTTTTTTTTAAAAAATGAATATCAAGAATCTAAATTAACAGCAATAACTCTCTAAATATAATGGAGATAAGATTCTATTTATAATGGGAACAAAAAAGATAAAACACCCAAGAGCTCCACAAATGGACTTCACTCATACAAAGAAAATCCAAAACACACAAGGACAGAAAGGAAGATTTAACTAAATACAAATCTGTTTCCTATTCTTGGACAGAGAGACTCATTTGCATAAGATGACAGTTCTCCCCAAACTAATCTATAAGTTGAGTATGATCCCAATGAAAACTCCAACACAGGCTTTATTTATTTTGTTGAGGATTTTTTTTTTATGGTACTGGGGTTTGAACTCAGGACCTCATGCTTGCTAGGCAAGGTGCTCTATGTTGTTGTGTTGTTCTGATTTCTGAATGCCAAACACTCTGAACCCAAGTTCCATTTGTTAATGACCTTACTCTTCTTTTTTCTTTCCGGTGATATATTTCCCTCTTCTCAGGCTCATTTCTCTCTCTCTGTCTGTCTGTCTGTCTCTCTCTCTCTCTCTCTCTCTCTCTCTCTCTCTCTCTGTCTCTCTCTCTCTCTCTCTCTCTCTCTCAGTGCCCGCAAATAGGGTTCGAGCTCTTAGGCTTGAAAAATCACAGCAAAACTGCAGCAAAATCAAAAGGAGAAAATATCCCTTCTCCGCCTGCAGCTACAGAGAAGAACAGATAGCCCCGTGTCATGAACACCTGTCCCTGCCATTGTCCTTCTGACTGAGGAGTTAGTTTATCACCTGGATCTCAGAGGTAGCTGCTTGGCCTGGGAAAGGTATAACTTCCCCGGGCTGCAGTCCAGACCAGCGGGCCTGGCAGAAATATTTAAATAAATTCCTCTTCCTGAACTTGGTTTAGTTTCCTTCTTTTCCTCAAGGGAGGCACAGGTACACAAATTGTTAGAGTTCTTATTTAAATGAAGAGTTTGAGAGCCTTACCTCATTCAAATTAGGATAGATAAGTGGATGCTAAGTTTTATAGGGGAAATTGAACATACAAGAATAGCCAAGGAAATTCCAGGCAAGTGGTAATGAAAGAAAATATTGCTGCATATTGTAAAACCACAGTAATTCAAGTACCTGATCATGGCATATAATGGACAGACAGATCAATGGTACAGAATAAGGTCCAGAAATTGACTCAAAAACATTTAGGAAGGCTGGTGAAGAGGCTCAAGTGGTAGAAAGCCTGCCTGGCAAGAGTGAGGCCCTGAGTTCAAACCCTTGTACCACCAGAAGAAAAGAAAAGATTTAGGAAAATCATATAAAATAAAGGGTGTTTCAAATCAGTGAAGAAAAGATGGATAGGACAAACAAGTAGATGTCTGGGAAAGAGTAAAATTGGATCTCCACTGACACCAAAATAAATTCCAGGTGGAAATACAGACGTGATAGAACAAACATGCATATATAATAAAAGCCACGAAAGAACTAGAACAAATATGGAGGGTTTATTTTTATCGTCCTAGATTGTGGTTACCTTTGCAAGTCTAACTTACAAAAATCAGAAAACAAAACAAAAGAAAATTGAAAAATTCAACTATCTAAAAAATTTGCTTTATGGAAAACCAAAATACTATTAATAGAGTCAAAAGAACAATGATAAGCTGTAAGGACGTACTGATAACATACTTGATGAACTGTCAAATTTCTTACTACCCAAAAAGCTGTTAACATTAGGAAATAGACCACAACTCAACAGGAAGATAGTTGAAGGACATGAAGACCTCGTCACAGAAAAGAAAATACAAATGTCATTTAAGCAGATAAAATGTACTCATCCTCCCTCATGATACTATAAATGCAAATTAAAATCATAGAGAAATTTTGCTTTACTGCTAGTAGATGAGAAAGATAGTCTGTAAGATGGGTCTATCCACAGTGCATGCTGTACAGGTTATTACAGTCAAAATATTGTCTGACTCACCACCACAGCTCATAGAAGTCAATTATTATCATTATTAAGGATAATTAACATCATTTAAATTCAGAGCACACATACCTTCTAACCCGCCATTCATCTTCTAGGAATTTGGGGACTTTGGCGTGGGTGTGTTTACAGGACATGTGTAGATCTGGTCATCGACTCATTACTTGTTTGTAACAGACAAAGATGAGAAACCACCTAAATGACCATCGAGAGAGGACTGGTTAAAGGCAGGATGGAAGTGCATATTCTTGGTTCCTTTGCTGGCATTAAAAACATGAGGCAGCCATCTGTCTGTACAGTGATGGAGAACAATCTTCAAATATTGCTAAGTAGAAAAAAAATAAGCGTATCTCAGAATATATACTTGTATATAAAAGCTGGATATGTATAAACTATTTCTGAAAGGAGACATAAGAGTCCTTTTATTGCCTCTCGGTGGTATCCTTCTAAATGATTTATTTATTTTTACCATATGTCTATTATCTATTAAAAAGTAAATCCACTTTTTTAAGAGAAGAGAGTTTGCACGGTGTGAGGTTGCTCACATCTGTCATCTTAGCTACTCAAGAAGCAAAGATCAGGAGGGTCAGAGCTCAAGGTCAAGGTCAGCACAGGCAAAATGTCAGTGAGACCTCAACCAGTAGCTGGGTGTGGTGGCACATGACTGTCATCTCAGCTACATGAGAGGCATAAATAGCAGGATTGTGGTTCGAGGCTAGCCTGGACACGAACGTGAGACCCTATCTCAGAAATAACCAAAGCAAAAAGGGCTGGAGGTGTGGCTCAAGTAGTAAAGCGCCTGCCTGGCAAGGGGAGGCCCTGAGTTCAAACCCCAGTACTGAAAAAGCTTGCAATGAACGTATTAACTCTGCCAGGAATCATTTTCTATACAACGATGTTTGAAATTCTTGTTTGCAAACATTTAAACTCTGATCCTCTAGTCTTCACCTCTATATGCTCGATTTGCATTTTCGTGTAGGAATATTCCCTTGTGTAAGGAAATTATGATAGATGGTAAAGTTAACTGCACCTGCAGGTTGCTTCAACTTGAACCAAAAAGGCCTTTTGAAAGTCAACAATTCGCGCTGCCCACACCGCCGGTGTAGACTTGGGTGATGCTAACCCGATCTGCGGTTTCTGGACGCGCTCTCCGTGGGGCAACTCGAGTCACACTGGTTCTTGGATTCGTGCACGCATTGACACCCATTGATGGTACCCATTGATGCTCTGCCCCCCTGTGGCGAGAATCTGCCATAGCAACCAGGCCAGGACCGCAGAGTCGCCGGACTCTTTCCTGGGTGTACAGCCCAAGGGTTTTCAATAGAGGGCGCTGTTGAGACAGCCATGCTGTGGTACCACCATTTTTTTTCCTGGTTAGATAAGTGCTTTCATAAAAGCACATACCAAAGCAATTATACACAAAAGCAATAAAACAATAAAGGTGCATAATTCTAGACATGATAGTTATCAGCGGACGAAATTTCTGGTAAGAACTGTGGGGCAATGTGCAGCCAGGTCCCCCCTATGTCTGCCTACCACAATTACCAGTGGACCCGTTGCCCTGAAGTGTGTGTGCATCCGCATGGGGCCAAACTTGCCACGTTTGCCCACAGAATCAAAACCTCCACGGTGGCTCAGGAACAGGGGTTAGCACATTTTTTTTTTTAAACGAAGGGCCAGATAGCAAATTAAAAAAAATTTTTTTGGTCCATACGATACCCGTTTTAAGGATTCAGCTTTACCTTTTGTAGTGTGAATGCAGCCTTAGTGTGTGAATGAATGGATGTGTCTGTGTCTCAATAAAACTTCACTTGCAAAAACACGTGGCAGGGTGCGCACCTATCAGAATGGCCAAAATCCAAAATGCTGACAGCACCAAATGCCAGCAAGGAAATGGAGCAACAGGAACTCTCATTCATTTCCGTGGGAATACAAGATGGCACAGCCACGTTAGAAGACAGTTTGCTGATCTCAAAAAATACTTTGCTCTATGATCCAGCAATTGCACTCCTTGGTATTTAACCAACGGAGACGATGTTCACTTAAAAACCTGCACATGGATGTTTAAGCAATGCTGTTCATGATTGCAGAAACTTGAAAGTAACCAAGGTGTTCTTCTAAGTTGGTGAGTGGATAAGTAAATGGTGATACATTCAGGCAAGTGAATATTTTTCAGATCTTAAACAAACAAAAATGTTATTTTTTTTCTCTTTTACAAAATTGGAGAGCAGGAGGGCAGAACAGGTCCTGTCTGGGGGGTTACCAGTGGGAGAGGGGAAGATGTATGAAAAAGGTGTAAGAGAGTGAACATGGTGCAAATATTGGGTACACATGTATGAAAGTGGAAAAAATGAGCCCTGTTGGAACTATTCCAGGAATGGGAGGAGGGGGGTATAAAGGAGAATGATGGAGGAGGTGAATTCAAGTATGATATATTTGATATATTGTAAGAACATTTGTAACTGCCACAGTGCACCCCCATCCATCATAATAATAAAAAAATTTTTAACTAAAAAAAAAATGAAATGAGCATTCAAGCTATGAAAAGACCTGGAAGAACCTTAAATGTATATTGCTAGGTGAAAGAAGTCAACCCAGAAAAGGCCATGTGACTGCATGTGTCTGCAGATCCACAAGCAGAAATCCTAACTCCCAAGGAGATGGTATGAGGGGGTTGCCTTTGGCGATGGAGTCTTGAAGATAGAGCCTCCTGAAGAGGGTCAGTGCCCTTTCTGAAGAGACTCCGGGGAGCTCCCTTGCCCTTCCGCCATGTGAGGGTGGGGGGTGAGATGTTCCATGATCCAGGAAGCAGGTCCTCACCAGACACTGAGTCTTCACAGCGGTATCCATCGTGTGCTGTTATGCTAAACCGTTAGGCTGTACAGTTCGATGTTGCAGCCTGAGCCATGGCACCTTTCTTTCCCCCTTTTCTCTTAATTCGGGGTGCATGACGTCACCTCTTCCATCTATTCATAAATGGATGGGTCCTGCCAGGTCTTGGGAGCTTCTTTAATAGCTAAAACTTTAGAGTTTTTCTTTCCTTTTTTTGTTTCTCTTCATATATTAGAAAGGCTACATTTTAAAGTAAAACAGGGAGAAAGTTTTGATATAGTTTATGTTCAGGGCAGCCTTGGAAGGCAGCCTCTATTTTCTAAGGAAAACCCACATGACTGGGCTTTCCACTTTAGCTCCTGTCCTTGCTTCAGGCAGCTGTGTAAGGATTTCTAGGGCCCGCAGGGTGACAAGACCCCACCTTTTCTTTCTATTCTGGTGGCAGATGACGTCTTGCAGTCAGCAGGTCCTTTGCGAGGTTCTCCCGTTCTCTTCCTGTTCAGCAGAGTCTTCTACTCATTTCTTTGTGACAATGAAGAGTGAAGCTCAGTGGTAGCTCACATGCCTGCATTCACAAGGCCCTGGTCTCATCCCCAGCACTGAATTTAAAAAGTGGGGTTTCAGTTTCCTGATTTGACCCTGGCTGACCGACTGATAGGGCATGTTTGTGTCAGAGATGAGATACTCAGTGACAACATCACTTGAGAAAAACCACAATTGGGTTTACAGTAGCAACTTTCATTGGATAAGAACAAATAACTCTGACCATGTATTTAATACTTATGTGTCAGCCACTGTCCTAAGCTCTTGCCATATAATCACTGCAGTTATTGCAGGGTTATGGTGTTACCTTGTCCCCAAATTCATATCAACTAGAACCCCAGAAGGTGGCCTTCTTTGGAAATGGGTTCATTGCAGATATAGTGTGGGTAAGGATCAAGATGAGATGATCCTGGATCACAGTTGATCTTAAGTCAAATGACAAGTATTTTACAAGACACAGAAAAGGACACCTGGAGATGGAGTGGAAGTTAGAATGATACAACCACAAGCCAAGGAATGTTAGGAACCACCAGCAGTTGGAAGAGGCAGGAAAGATCTACCCTTGGAGCCTCTAGAGGGAGCAGGACCTGGACAACACCTTGATTTTGGACTTCTGGCTGAGATAATAAACTTCTGTGGTTTCAAACTACTGGTTTGGTTTATTCACTGTGGCAGTCCTGGGAAATGAACGTAACATCTCACTTCATTCTCCTAGAAATACCATGTTTAAGAGGTAGTCTGGAAGCTTTGGCTCTTCTCTCCGGGTCTCCCACATTACCCAGAGTGTGTGCCTTCTCCATTCTTCCTGCTACCTTAGGCTGTTCATTGCCAAGTTACCCCAGACCCCATCTCTGGTGTCCGGGAGCTTCCTGACTTCCAGATGTGCACTTAGCCCCAGTTTGCCTCCTGGCTGTCACATCCATTGCATCTTATCTCTCAAACTCTCTGAGAGGAACCCGTTCCTGAGAATTGTCTAGTATAAGAGAAGAGAAGCCCTGTGGAGGAGGTGAGTGTGCAGGTGGAGGGTGCAGAGTAGGGTGAGGTGGGGAGAGTAAATAGGAGCCTCAGGCAGGCAGCAAACTCTCTCATTCCTCCTCTCTATAAGAACATCTGAACTGGACCTCCTCAAAAAAGAATATTATTACCCAACTTACTGTCTTAGTGCACTTTCTGTTACTGTAAGTGAGTACCACAGATTGGGTCATTTATAAAGAATAGATGTTTATTTGGGTCATGGTTCTGGAGGCTGTGAAGTCCAGTGTCAAGGTGCAGGTGTTGGTGAGGGTCTTCCTGCTGTACCATAACATGAGAAAGACCTCATATGGTGAGACAGAGCAGCTGTGCTGGCTCACTTCCTCTTATGATAAGCCATTATTGCTATCACAGGACCCCGTGCTCAGAACCTCATCCATTTCTAGTCATCTCCCAAAGGTCTTACATCCAAATGTCACTATGGAGATTATGGTTTAGTATGAGTTTTGGAGGAATGAGGACAGACTTGCTGAGCCTCTGCAGGAAGCTCACGCATGATGAAGACCCTCCTGCTGCTTTCTTCTCTCCCCCTTTCAGGCTTCAGCACGGCCATCAGAAGACATGGAGTTGCTCCATTAGGTCGCCTCATGCAACCCCTTTCTCCTCACTTCTGGGGAGGTGCCAGTCCTGTTTGTAGGCTGGGTCACTGAACTTCTGACCCACTTGAGCAGGTATGGGAGGAACAAAGGGAAAGAAAATCAATGTAGGTTCAGAGCTTTGCAAGCCCATATGGTGGCCTGAGCCAAATAGAGAAGGGTCCCCTCTGCTCCTGCCACCCCTGCTGTTCATTCTGCTCCTGAGGACAGCCCTGTATGGTGCCATGTGGGGTGCTGTGTCCCCCTATTCTGGGCTGTGACTAACAAATCACTGTGGACCTCACCCAGTGTTGGATGTTGTATACTTGGCCATCCCCAGAATCCTAGGGTGGGAATCTCCCCTTCACTCATGGGTAAATGAGATGTGAGAAAGGAAAACAACTTGCCATGTCTTCCAGAGTTGTACAGGTGTGAAATCCTTTCTCTGTACAGAGCGCCAGTGGTCACAGGCCTGGAACTGAAAGGAACTTAGGTCTAGGTGGGAGATTATTTTCCAAGGACCAGAAAGAATGATAAAGAAAGGGAAGAAGGCTGAGAAGGTTCTGGCACAAAAGAAGGAAGATGGGGATCCTAGCAGCTTTCCAAGAATTCTGAGCTGTGACTCCAGGGTCTCTGCTCAGAAGAGGTGCTTCGCTGAGAGAGGTCGTCTTTCTCGCTAAGCTTTCCTCCCCCCATCATAGTAGTGTGCATGGTGGGTCCTGTCTCCCCTAACTTGATGGCTGAACAGAAGTTGAACCTCCTGAGAGTTTGTGTGCGTGCATTGGGCATATTCTCAAAGTGACCACTAGGGGGAAGCTGCACTCAGAAGTCCTTGTAAATTCTACACATATGTAGAAGAGACAAAATCCATTATTTTTTGGAAATATCTGTGATACTTGGCTACTGTCTTACTGACCTCAGGTAGACACATGAACCCATGCATGTGAGGGGCTAATTTTTCTAAATACATCTCCTTTTGGAGTTGTTTTATGTACTACTCAATGACTGCACACTTAAAAGAATTTGCCAGTCCTTCTCAGTGCACGTTGCTTTGGTCCTCAGGCTCTACAAGACTTTGCTTTGCCCCTCTAATCTGATTTTATAGTTATGTCTCACTTGTGCCCATAGAGAAGTCACCTGTCAACGTGGAGTTAAGATAGTGCATTATTCTTCACTCACAGGACTTCGGGGATTTCTTGGCCTGTCAGCTCATTTCTAACTTTTGTTGTGGTTACTATTGAATTACCATAGTGTCCTGAGGGGACCTAAATTCATAGGCAAGTGCAAAGGCAGCATCTCAAGTCGTATCTTGTCATTTGAATCTTGGCTTCTTTGTGGTTTAATTGGCTTCTGTTTGTTTTAACGACCTAGTTCCAGCTCTGAATCACTTTTTATCTCTCCAAGCAGACACCTGAATATATAGTGTAGAAGAATTTAGGGTCATTTTTGAGAATAAATTGTCTGGTATTACTGGAACGTTATCAACTTAAGACAGCATATAGCCTAGACCAAAAGCAAATCCACAGTTTCCTTCGCCCACAATGGTTGCTAAGTCTTGGCTCTTCTGGTCAATGGAAATTGCCTCTCCAAGCATGGCCTTGTTGCTGCTTCCCACTCCCAGGGCTCTTGGCATGATGAGGCAGCTGGAGGAGGGCAAGGAATGGAACCGGGAGGCAGAGGACCTGCCCACTTCCTCCAGTGACCTTGAGCATGTCCTTGAACCCCACAGAGCATCAGAGACTTGCACTTGTTAGGCAGGTGCTCTACCATTCGAACCATGCCCCCAGCCCTTTTTGCTTTAGGTATTTTCTGACGAGGGTCTTGTGTTTACACCCAGGTTGGCCGGAATCTCAGTCCTCTTATTTATGCTTCCCATGTAGCTGGGATCACAGGAACACTCCCCCATGCCCAGCCTTTTTTGTTTGAGATGGGAGTCCGACGAACAGCTTGCCCAGGTTGTCCTGGACCCGCAATTCTCCCATCTCCACCTCCCAAGTAGCTAGGATTATAGGTGTTGCCACTGTGCCCAGCTTCCATGGAGCTCTTCAAAACTAACTGTCTAGAGTGTTTCTCACAGCATGTCTGTTCTGGAGAAGTTTAAAGCCATTCACCCAGTCAGGCCAGGGCACCCTGGACAGGTGAGGGGACAGTGGCATTGCTCTTGTTGCCTAATTCATGCCCGTCCACATCAGTGCTGGGCCAATCGGAAGGCTCAGAAGCCTAACTCAATTGCTTAGAGGGTGGATTCACCTTTCCAGGGCAGACTTCCAATAAGTAGTCACAATGGTGGAAAAAGAAAAATCGGAGCTGTAATGTTCATACCAACATTGACAGACAGTGGCAGTCATTGAATAGGCTGATCTCCTGACCAGGTAAGCATAGCCTAATATAGCATTTCATCTCGGGGCCGGGACCTGAGGGTTCCCTGGTCCCACACTGAGGGAAGTGCTTGTTCCTGCCACCATATCTAGGAAGGGTTCTCATTCCAAGCCTGGTTATTCTTCCTATTAGTCTATTTTCTTTTTTATTGTTGTTTTTGTTGAAGCCTTTTAAAATTATATTATTGTTGTGCTGAGGGTACACTGTGACATTTACAAACGTACTTACAATATTGTTAGTCTGTTTTCTGTTGCTATAAGATAATACCAGAGGTTGAGTAATGTATATGGAAAAGAAGCAGTCCAAGATTGGGTAGCCTCTGGTGAGGGCCCCCTTGGCTGTGTCACTGGTGGATGCATCATGGCAGAAGTACACAAAGGAGGAAGAGATCATTTGACAAAACAGAGAGCCAGATAGTAGGGAGGGGCCAGCCTGCTCTTTGATAACAACCCCCGTTGTGAGAACTGACTGGGGTTCCAGGAGAACTATATTAATCTGAGGGCAGTGCCCCTTGGTAGGTCTTTTCCCCTTCTACCAGGCCTCACCTCTTGAAGGTCCCACCACGACAATGAGGATGAGGATGTCACCACATGAACCCATGGAGGACAAACCACACCCAAGCCATAACACTATCTATCAGGCGTGACCTGGGGATGGCAGAGAGCTATTCTTTTCTTTTAAAGCAGAGGATGTTAATCAGTGGTTTTTAGGCAAAATCCAGCTCAAGGTCATATATTGTTTGGCTCACATAATTGAAAAAAGATTAAGTTAGATGTCAATATCCAAAAGTCAGATTTCACAGCTTCCTTGACAAAACCCAGAAGTCTATCAAGGTTTTGCGTGCATTCCCTGCTTGCTGCAAAAGCCAAGAGTTGAGCAGCAACCCAATGCTCACACTTACAAGGGAGGAGGGCTCCACAGTTTCCCACACCCTCTTCTGTGGTCTCACTCCCTTGGTTTTGATCTGCAGGCATCGAATGTACCCTGTTCCTCATTCTGACATTTTGTGTGTTGATGGCAGTCTTAACTATCCATAAAGCAGTAACATTTTCTTTATTCCCAAGCCCCTGGGGCTGCCCATCAGAGCCCCTAAAAACTATCATCCATCTTCTAAAAGTATCACATTGGCATAAAAAGAAGAGATAGCAGATCATGATAAAAGGCTTTAGTTTAAGATAAATCTGATTAGTGTAGCAAAAAGTATTGCCATTCCATCCAATGAACACATGAAATATTTCCTGGAAAATATTAATCAAGATTCTGTTTGTAAAGACCTGAGAATAGTATCTGGCATACAGCAAGCATTCTGTGTATGTGAAGTCAGATTTTAAAATAAGGTCATGAGCATTTGAAAATCTGTGGCTCAATTCATCTCCCCCTCACTTTTCTCCCTCTCACTTTAAAACTAGGGAGGAGAAAAGGAGGACAAGATAAGAGCTTTGCAGTGAGGGAAAGTGAGTGCAAGTCCCCATCCTTCAAGGGCAGGAAGCACTAGAGCTGCTGGGACCTCCTCTGCCTTAAAAGGCACAGGAATGTCAGCGGGAGAAAGTGAATTGGTGATAAGGCCCTGCCAGGATGTCTGGAATATCAAGGTCAGTATACCACCACAGAGCACACTGATAGTCACAAGGGCTCTGGGTCCCTCTCCAAACCTCGTTTCCTTCAGTCTGGGCAGCATGTGCTGTCTAAAGCAGGCTCTGGATCACTCAGAGGCCATGAGATGCCAGCAGCCAAAGCTGGGCTCCAGGCCCATGAATCCCCCACAGACCATAGGCAAAATAGTGTGCTCGTGTGGATTTGGGGGTGGTGAGGATCAGAGATTTCATTGGATTCTCAAAGGATTCTGGGACCCAAAGAATCACCCACCAAGGACTGTAGTAACTCAAAGGCCAGGGTTCTGCCCCAGAGATGCCTCTAGCACAGGCAGACGAGTCATAGCTTATTACATGAAACAGGGACTGGAATTGGGGTGGGTTGAACTTGTCCATTTGAGGATGGACTTGCTGATTTTCTTTTATATTATGTGCAGGTTTTAAAATTTATGTTTTATTTAAATGCTCCATGCTCTACAGGAATACCCAGGCAGGTGAGCTTTCATGATGTCACAGTACAGAGGGCCCTGAAGTATAGGTGGCAGCTAGAGGAGGCAAGTCCCCAGAGTGCTGGCCCTCTGTGACTTTCTCAAGGCAGAGGAGAGCACCTTCAGTACCACTCTCCTCTACTGTCAACTCCTGTCTGCGAGGGGCGGAATGCTGACTAGGAGCCGTTCTGTCCCTGGAGAAGGGTGACATATCCTGCATTAGTTGGCGAGTATCCTGAGTTGGGTGCTTGACCATCAGACAGGCATCATCTTACAGCTCTAGAAGCCAGAAGTCTGAAGTTGAGGTCTGGGCAGGGCCTCATTTCCTCTGAAACCTACACAGGAAACCCTTTCCTGGTCTCTCCCCAGTTCTTATTGGTGGCCATCAATCCTTGGTTGCCCTTGGCTTTTATCTGAACCACGCCAACCTCTGCCTCTGTCATCCCATGGCATCCCGTTTCCCTGTGTCTGTGACCAAGTTTCTCTCTTCTTAGAAGGACACCAGTCAAATTGGATCAGAGCCCACTCCAATGACCTCAACTATACTTGATCATCCAAAAGGATCCCGTTTCCAAGTAAGGTCACATTCACTGGTACCAGGAGTTAAGATCTCAACATTTCTTTCTGGGGGCACAGTTCAACCCCCCCCAAAAATGGGAGATTCACCTCAAAAATCCTGCCACCTCAGTCCCATGTGTTGCCACTGTCCACACCCACTCCTTTCCCTGAGCTCCTTAGAATGGTGGGGGCACCTCTCTTCTTCCAGGAGTAACTGAACACCTTACCTTGGTGTATATTCTGAAGGCGACATTTTTCTCCTCCATCTCAGTCCTACAGGAAGTAAGTTCCTTCTAGACTGAGATGTGCACGTTGGTGTGTGTTTGGGTGAGGGATGCATCAAAGGTGGGTAGGCTTATGGGAGGACATAGAAGGATAGAACCACAGTTGTATATAGAAGTGTTACTGTGCTTATGATAAATTTGGGAATGTCACCCCTTTGGGGCCAGTTCTGTAAGGTAGGGGTGTTAGTAAGGATATAGAATCTGCCACTTTTACAGAGGCCAAAATGGCTTAAGGATGAGTGGAGTTGCATTCTCTTTCCTATGAACTCTGACCAGGTGGGTAGTCCAGAAAGGTCCCAGATTCTTGCTCTGCCATCCGAGAGTCACTGTTCTTTCCCGGTCAAAGCTGCACGACAACTATCCATGTCTCAGCCACTGGGAAAGGGGACATGGAAAGTGGAGGACATGCTTTTCCTTTTCAAAGATTACTTGGAAGTTGGAGTCATCACTTGCACCTCTACTGGGCAGAACTTAATCATAAGAACTGCTAGCTTCAAGGGAGTGTGGGAAGTGCATGTCAGAGGCCACGACCAGGATTCTGCTAGATTTAACAATGCAGAGACAGACATTGGAGGACAAATCGATAGTGTATTATAGAAAGAAAATTATTTCAGAAAAATCGTGCCATTAATTCACCCCTCACCCTTACAATAGCAGTAAGGAATACGAGAGGCAAGCGATTAGAAAGATCTGATTGTGACCTGGGCCTCATCCAGTTTCCACTCGCCATGGGGTTCACGAGGAAGGCTTCAGCTCGGGCAGGTGTGTGTTGGGTTGTTCTGCAGCCACCTGGTTTTCGATGACACAGCAAGCTCTGAAGCTCTCCAGAACCCGGGACTGGAAGAACGCCCTGTCTTTCTCCTGCCAGGCGTCTGACTCGATGTACACATTGTACGGGTCGTGTGAGTGCTCCAGTTTCTTGGAGCGGATATAACTTAGCATGATGCCCAGGGTGAAGAAACCGAAGAACCCCAGCACCATGAGGATGTAGAGTGCCTCTAGCTGGCCGTCATTCCGGAGGGGGGACCTGCGGGCCAGGCCAGACACATTACTGCCCTCTTCTGCTGTCTCCTGCCACAGCGTGGTGAGAAAGGGAGTCACAGCTGTGGAATTAGACAGGCTCATCCTGGGCTTTGAGATTCCACCACTGGAAAGTGAACTTCCCAAGCAAACGTCCTAAAAGAATATGCAACCTGAAGTCAAAAAATCTATATTGGCCAAGCCTACACACGTGCACACACACAAATCTTTAAAATCTCAGTGAGAGACAGAAGGTGTTGTGTGTGCACAACACCCTCTCTTGACTGATCAATAGATAGGTTGGTTCTCTTTTATTTCCATTCATCACTCCCATACAAACTCACCCAGGGGCCATTGGAATGAGTTCCATTAAGGCACGTTGTTGTGTATCGTTGTGTTGTGTTTTATGTGTGCCTTTTAATTGACATAAGTGGTATCAGGTATGTATTTCACTGAATTGCTTTCCTTTTCTCCTCACCACTGTGGTTGTATGGCCCACTCATGATGCTGTGTGACTGTTGCACAGAACCAGTGAAGAAAACCCTTCTTTGGTACTGTGGTAGCCACTAACTCCATTAAAAAAAAAAAAGAGAGACAAACACCCTCATCCTTGTTTTCCTATGGTCCTGAAAAAACAAAACAAAACCATCCTTCATACAATAGCTCTTGGTGTTTTTTTAGTAGTCAGACTGAGGGACTGTCAGGTTACCCTTGGAAGTAGTGTGTAATGGGTAGTTGTTCTGGTTTCAGTGTGCCCTCCCAAAAGTTCAGCTGTTGGAAACTTGCTCCCCAGTGCAACAGTGTTGAGAGATAGAACTGTCGGGAAGTGACTGCACCCTGAGGGCTCTGACCTTCTAAATGGATGAATCCATGCCTAAATTAGTGGCTTATTGAGGGAGTGTTTGTTATCCATGAATCCATTGATGGATATAAGAGTTATCTATAGTTATCTTGCTCTGCCTCACTGTGTGATGCCTTGTACCGTGGTGGGGTTTTTTTGTTGTTGTTTGTTTGCTTTTGTTTTTATCATATTATTGTTGTACTGAGGGTACATTGTGACATTTACAAAAATGTTTAGCACACATCTTAGTTATATTCACCTCATCCATCGTTCTCCTTTATCCTCCCCTCCCATTCTTAGAATACTCTCAACAGGTCTCATTTTCCATTTTTATGCATGAGTACACAATATTTCCACCATATTCATCCTCCTACACTCTTTCCTTATATGCTGCCCCCTCCAACTGGTGACAAATCCCAGACAGGACCTGTTTTACCTTCCTGTTCTTTATTTTTGAAATAAAGACATTTTTGTTTAAGATAGCTATACAGAGAGTTTCATTATGACATTCCCATATATATACCTATTGTAACCCAAATTGGCTCATCCCTCTATTTTTCTCCTTTTTTACCTCAGTCCTCCTCTGATGGACTTGAGCCGTGTTGTGACGCAGCAAGAAGGTTGGCAAGCATGTGCCAGTCCCTAGTTGTCAGAGCCATGAGCTAATAAACCTCTCCTCTTCATAAACGACCCCGTCTTTGATATTCACTTTTAGCAGGAAGAAACAGACTAAGAAGGTCTGTTTTACCATGGACATCTTTCTGGGGGAAGCTGTGTTCATTGAATGAAAAACCCACCCTGTCACACAGCAGCCTAGAATGACTGGCAAGAGTTCACCAGAACTCTGCTCTGAGAGGCCTGTGTTACTGTGTGTGCTATACTTGTCCCCTTCTCCAACCCTCCACTGAATGGCGAGCAGGGCCACATAGAAAGTGACATGATCCTATCTATCACCCATTTCTTTCATCTTGATGTCATTGTCCTTGACCACCCATAACAGGCCTGGGAATTGTGAAAGTTGTCTCCTCCAAGGAGCTGTGGAATTCTGTCGGGAATTTCGTGTGCTCTAAAAATTCCATCTAGATGGCCTTGGCATCCCTGGTAAGCTAAAAGAGTTTTGTGTTGTTTTTTTTTTTTCTTCTTTTTGTTTTTTTTTTTGGTCCACCTTCTTCTGTGAAACAAAAGCCAGGAGGCGACAAAGTTGAAGGCTTGTTCCAAACTCAACCCTAATTGGCCACTAGGAGCTTATCCCACTGAAGTGGCCCAACTCAGTTCTTAGGAGCTTCCAAGCAGCTGAGTGGCACATACCTTTAAGGCACCCTCCACACCCTAAGTTACTTTTGTAACTAGAGGTGAAAGCGGTTGGGACACAATTTCTGACCAGAATCCCCATGGGGAGAGAAAGTCCAGCCTGTACCTGGGTGGCTCAGCCTTTCCTCACTAGGATGGGGACAGTGGCACTGGACATGCACATACATCACCCTGGCTGGGATGACTGTCAACCTCAGAAGCCTAGCTACTCTCCAGATTAGGCCTAGAGCTACTCATTCATAGAATGGGCTGAGTATTAAACACCGAGCCCAGCACCAGGTGAAGACGATTCACACCTTCCTGAGGCCCCCTTTCCTCTACCCACCTCTGAAACACTGATGTACTTTCAAATTCTTTCCTTGGCTCTCTTCTCTTTTCACTCCACTCTCCCTGGTGATCATACCCACTCCTCTGGTCACCTACATGGTCATGACCAGACCTGCCTTCTAAGCACCAGAGCTGTGTGCCAATGACCCACCAAGGAGATTTCCCTTTGGCTATCCCAGCCCACTCAAACCCAATTCCCCAGCCCATTCTGTCAGAGTCCAGCCATCCCTCAGTGAGCTAAATACAATATTGTCCAACTCAAAATCTAAGTCACCCTCATGGCAAATCTCATCTTGTCTGTCTCCAGGTTCAAGGCCTTCTTTGGCTCCTCTCATATTCAGCATGTCTATGGGTCCTAAATTTAAGAGGGCCCTGCCTTGCTCCCCAGCTCCATGGCTGCCACTGTGCCTAGACCCTCTGTGCTAGACCCTTGGGAAGGCCTGCACACATCCTTACATCTTTGCGGATCTCCAGCTCGGACTGCCCCTCCTAAATGGACCCATGCTTGATCTGTGAAACTCTGAGCAGTGCCTTCTCATGCTTTCAAATTCAACTCAGCTCCCACCTCTTTTCTGAAGCCTCCTCTGATGGGTAGAGTTGCGTTAGCTCCACCCACCATGCTTCCTACAAACTTCATATGGTCAGGATCTCTAGACCTTACACCCTATCCCCCACCTCAGGCTACTTAGTTCAGTGCCTGACACGCAGCAACAAGAGCTGTGAACATTTATGGAACAGATGCCCCCAGGACTAAGTAGTACCTTTCATGAGTGGGGCCTGCCTCTTTAAAACCTGCTTACTCTAGTGAACAGATGCTGATGAGCTGGTTGCAAAGCTTTGGATAACTTCTTTTTCCAGAAGAGAAATGGACTCCCATCCCAAAGCACCATCTCAGAGAACACACAGAAAGTGCTCAGATTTGGAGTGGCTCCCACTATCAGGTTTGGATTCTGGCCCTGCTAATTTGTGGCCACATCATCCAGAAAGCTTCCTCAGCCTTGCTTAGCTGTGTCTTTCCCCTTTTGTAAACAGGAAGGTACATCACTGGTGTTTCTGAGCTGTTGGATCACTTAGTGATCAGGTGTGTACAATGCAAGGCATATAACATGTAACACTTAGTGGTCCCAAGTATAAGTGTGATGTTTAATCTTGATTGTCAACCTGATTGGAATGAAAGAAGCCTATGAGATTAGTAAAGCTCACTTCTGGTTGTCTCTATGATTGCATTTCTAGATACAATTAGGTCATGAAGGTTCTGACCTAATCAATGGTTTAATCCATTGATGGATTCAAAATTTGAATGACTATTAGGAGATGGTGGAAATATGGTAGGTTGGGTCCTAGATGGAAGAAGTAGGTTTCTGGAAGAGTGCCTTTGAAAGGTATATCTTGGCCCTGACCCCTTCTTGTTACTTCTCTCTGCTTCCTAGCCACCAGGAGGTGATCATCTCTGTTCTATCCACGCCCTCTCCACCATGATGGTCTGCCTCACCACAAACTCGGAAGCAATGGAACCAAGTGATCATGGACTGAAATCATGAGCCAAAATAAATCCTTCCTCTCTTAAGTTATTTTCTCAAGTGTTTGTCACGTGGATGGAAACTTACTAACAATGAGTTTATTGGGTTTTCCACCTCGTTAAGAAATTGCAGCCCAAAGACTTGGGCCTCTGGGGTTTTAGGTTTGCTTTGCCACAGTTGAGCACTGTGATTCTCTTCCTCACCTCATGGAGAGATCGTTCATCAGTGAGAAGTGAAGCTTGTTTGTGGCCTTCCTGATTGCAGGGCTTTTGAGTGTATGCAGAATTCTGTTAGGGATAGGAAGGCTGTGTGAGCTTAAGAGACACCCAACTACTGATTGTTATACAAAGCCATTGTGGAGCCATTAGCTCCATTCTAACCACAGGGGTAGGCATGACTCCCTTGGCAACAGACCCAAACTTGAAGCTCAACAATTTCTTCTTAAATGACTTGAAGCCACTCAGGAATGCATAGAACCCTGCCCAGAAAAGAACAGGCCTTGAACTGATGATATAATTTTATTTCCAAAACCTCAGAGCAACCACAATTGGCAAATAGTCCTGCTACCAATTACTAGTAGGGAGTTCTTATAGATTAATGACCATGTGAGACTAGAATTATGGCAGGCAACATTTGGAGGTCCAAATGTTAATTGGATCTCCATACAGTAAACTAATTTAACAGTAACTTCTGTATTTAATTCATACTGGTGTGTTTACTGAGAAAACCTGTCACTTAAAACCAGATGGAAATTTCTACGGCCAGAGGAAACAACCAGAAACATCTGTTTTGAAAACCTCCAGGCCCAAGCTATCCTCATCCTATTCCAAGATGGTGGTTCAAATTTCAGCATGCTTTAGCAGCACCTGATTAAAATACAGGTTGCTGAGCTCCACTCCCAGGGTTTCTGATCCAGTAGGTTTGGGTAAAAGCCTGAGAATTTGCATTTAAAACACATTCAAGGGTGGTGCTGATGCTACTGGTCTGGAGATTATGCTTGGTATCCTATTTGAATCCCCCATGGAGCGCTCAAAATATAGTAATACCTGTATCCCAGCTCCAGAGATTTTAATATTGTTGATCTGGGTTCCTGCCTGGCATTGAAA